ATTTTGATTTTTTAATTTATTCAAAAAAATTTTTTAGTCTCAGAGCCCCATTTTCCTAGCAAACCTCCCATATAATATTTATGAATTATTAGTTTAATATGAAAGCTTTGCAATAGAAAAGGAGAAAACTCTAAAAAAATTAAAATTTTACTTTTTAAACTAATTATGATTTTTTACATTAACTCAAAAAAAATTTTTTTAGAGTTTTCTTCCTTTTTATTGCAAAGCTTTCATATTATAATAATATATATAATAAGAACTTGTAACATATTTTGCTATATGTAAATTAATATGATTATATTCAGATTATATTTAAAATCTTTAGAGCAATAATTGTATCCAGATATATAAGAAATTTATATATATTAGCAAATTTATACAAAGTGATAAGATGATAGATATTTTCTAACTAATATAATAATGTATTATTTAGCATTTATAAAATGACATTTACTAATACTTATTTGATAAATAAGATTTTATTGTAAAGCTAATGATAATAAAGAATTATATAATATTAAGTATTAGAAAATGAATTTTATAGAATTGATAGAAATAGTATAGTATCATTCTGAATTATAATATATATAGTTGATTTATACTAAGTAAATTTATAGTAAATATATGAAAACTAAAAAAAATATTTGGCAATCATATTTATGAATAGATAATCTTACTTATAATGATAATTTAATTATAGTTAATAAATTTGAAAGTATAATAAATTTATAAATTTGAAAATAATCAGAAAATTTATTAATTTTTATAAATTAGAATGAATCATTAAATTTTATTTATAAATAAAGCAATAAAAACCAACTTAAATTCTAATTATTAAATTAATTGATAACTAATTGTTAATTAAACCTGATTTATTATTATTAAATATATAGTTTTAAACTTTTAAAATAAATATAAAATCAGATTAAAAACTGATTTATGTAATTCTAACTAATAATTATTAATTAGATATTAACTGTTTCATATCCAATTGTAATATTTATTGATTTCTATCTATTGATTACTAATTTAAAAAGTAATTAATCAGGAAGGTACTTAATTGATTAATATTTGATTTATATCTAGTTTATTATAATAAAGTAATAAATAATTTTTTTTTATTAATATTATACTAATGTCAATAATAAATTAATATTATATCAGATATGTAAATTTATAAAACATTAAATTATATAGTATTATAAGAAAAAAATATTAAATCATAAAATAAATTAATTATAAAAAGTTTTTTAAGATTTTTATAAAGATTATTTTTCATTATATTTATTACTTTTTATTTTTATTTTTTTTTTAATATATGGAAATTTGCTAGAAAAAGAGTTTTAAAACTACATATTAACACTTTTTCTTAACAAATCTTCTATAATATAATTATTAATATTAATAATTACTTTAAATTTATTACTTAATGTACTCTTAAATCAAATAAATTTTTTTTTATTAAAATCATATTTAATCTACAATTTTGTATGAATTTTTTTACTAATTAAAACATAATTATAGCAGTAATTTAGGGAATTATAAAAAATAATATGCTAATCAACCGACTTTGGATATACTACTCGATATTATTACCTTTTCATGATCCTGTTCATCAATATTCTTAATAACATTAGAATCTCTTTGACCATATAAAAATTTTTCATTCTTATCAACTACTTTAAGAAAGTATTTTTTATCCAAAATTCCTTTAACTCCTTTTGTAAGTATTACTCCATTAGAAGATCTATAAAATTCTATACCATCTAAATAAATAATATAGGTTAAATTCAACGAAATAACGTAGTTAATTTTAAAAAAAAATATAAAAGTCAATCAAACCTTTCATGGCTTCATGTACATTTATATATATATGCACATCACAACTTGCTCTCATACCACTTTTCACATTTTTATCACCCCATTTTCCAGTAGCCAAATGTATATGAGTACGATTCATTTTGGAAAGTCCTTGTGTTTCTAAAATTGAATCGGATGTGAAAAGTTTTATTAAAGTTTTTTTTTCATCCATACACATTTGATCACATTTCGTTTTACCTATACTTTTCCATTTACTTGAATAGGTTCCATGTATAACTTGGGGGATTTGTGCAGAATCCGTTATTTTTTCTAATTCCAATTCCTCCACCTAAAAAAATCAAATTTTTTAGATTTTTAATACACACCAGGTTCAAGATTCGACCCAAATAAATAATGAAGTAATTGAAAAATTAAAGTAGAAGGTAATGAATACATCTAAACTATGTCCTTGATTAGCTCTTATCCACCATACGATATCCCCATTTTCAGTTGCTTGTTGTATAAGAGTAAATCTTTGTTTATCGTTTTCCTTTACGACCTGTTGTATTTCATCTAACGTTTTTCCTCTAAACCTAGGTAACCTCATCTACAAAAAAAAATTTACGGGCAATTGATTAGTAAAGTTTGATAATAATTAAATTATGAAGAAATAAATATATATATACCAACTCGAGCAATTTAACATATCCATCTGCACGAATATTTAATCCCTCCTTTTGTGCACCATGACGAAGAACGTATGATAACGATTTTGATAATTTTACTGTTGGCGAATCGTTACGACGCTGATATTTACCAGACATACTTCAAAAACAGAAAAGTAATCGTTATGAAGTTGTATAAACTGCGGGAAGATAATTACGGGTGAAGATCATCAACATATCGGGAATTAACTTTTTAAGAACATTCCAAAAAGTTATTGCCAATAAATGTTATGATAGTGTTTCTTTTTTCCATACCATATAAAATAAAAAATAAAAAAAAAAAAAATGTCAGAAAAAACAGACATTCAAGATTTGCCAGTGAACACTTTGCTACCGCCACTTCCTAACGTTTTCCTGTCATTTCAACCGCAACCTTCTTCCTTACATAACACTATTGAGGAAGTAGTAGATATTTCACCATATAATCCACCAAATTTCAAACCACCACATTACCAACAAGGTGGTGATCAATATTGGAGAGGTCCAAGTTCACAAATGAGAGGAGGTAATAATTATTATTATGGTGTTGGTAATAATAATTATTATGGTGGTAATTATTATAACAATAATTATGGAAATAGGGGATTCCATGGGAGTGGACAAAAGCAGAGAGGTGGATGGAACGATTATAATAATAGAACCTTTCCAATGGTAATTATTACATTTAATAAAATTTTTTTTTCGAAATTTTAACCTGATGATTAATTAATTATATTTTTACATTAGAAACGTCAACGGAAAGATCATGATATTAGTGCTTATTATAAGAAATCATTTTTACAAGATCCATGGCAAAAGGACAAAAAATAATATTAATAATTTGTTAAATTTATTTGTAAATATTTAGGAAATAATGTTAAATATTTTAATTCATTCATTTTTTTGTTGTTTCTTTTTATTTCTTGAATCTATGTAATGATAATCTATTTTATAAGTCGATTCCAATCCAGGTGGTGGGGGTGGCTCTGTGGTCTTGACCAGCAGCAGAGCAGTAGCAGACTGAGTTATAAAAAAAAAAGAAAAAGAATTATTTAAATGTATAATTATTTCGTAAATCAAATTAAATTAAAAAATTATACCTGAGCAATGCCATAGAATAACATTCCAAGTAAAGGTATTCTAACTAAAGGATAAAAACCGATCGAGAACCCAAATAAAATACCTTCTCTTTCTCTAAACCATTTTCTTCTCTCATTTGAATCAAAATGAATTCTACCAAAATAGGGTTCTAATAGTTCTCTCATCATAGCTCTAGAGGAATATAAAGTTTCCAAGAAAATCATAGCAAAAGGTTTTGTACCAGGTATGATATACATAAACACACCAACGGTTATTGCGGGGAGATACCCAAGAGAATTAACAAGAGCATAAGCACTTGCCGCTGGATATACAAACTTACCAACATAAGGTAATAAAGAAAGAAAATACAATAATAATGCGATCTTAATTTGGTTCCATGTTCTCTTTAAATATTGAAACATTTCTTTCAGGTATACTTCTGTTCCACCATGTCCGTATTGATAGTTTTCTAACGCTGGCGCATATGATGCTCGTAAATTCTGTTCTCCTTCATGTTTTTTTAGATATGTCGTATCTACATTGCGAAGTGAATCTATGAACAAGGAATCTAATGGTTTCGGATACAAATATCTCATAAACATTAAACCCAAAAAGGGCAGATTGAATACATAATTTGTAGCCCAAGAATTATAACTTTCGGTGTATAAATGATGATCATAATGAAATACAAATGAAAATAAGTAAACGAAAAGTTGAAGTAACTTTAATGGAATTATCAAAAGGATCGATGAGACTAAATATAATATTATACTGAAAGCGACTAGAATCCAAAAGGCTTTGACATATGTATGTTTGTGCAAATGACGATTTTCAAAGGCTAATAATGAACCCCACCAAGCTAATTGTAACCCGCGTTTAACTTGTGTTAACGACCAAACCATGTTTTTTTCGAGTTTGGAAAAGAGGAGATACCAGAATCATTCATTATTCACATGATAAAAAAAAAAAGCGCGTATATGTTCGTGTCGTCACCTAATAGATGTTTGATTCACATGAATGAGCTTAACTCGGAATCATATGACCGAAGTCATAAAAAGAAAATAATTTAAAAAAAACCCTAATAGTAAAAAATTTTGAAGGTCACGATTTGATTTCTAAGCATTCTGTTCCCACTTATAGTATTTCCGTGTGCCTCAAATTACTAGTAGGAGTATTAATTAGAAATGATGTGATTTCTTTAAATTATGACAAAATTTTTATTGTGTTACCGTTTGATATTTATAAAGATCGCGTTTTTTTTTCTTTCTTTATCTCGAAATTTTTTTAAAAAAAAAAATATGTTTGCTAATAAAAGTAGATATTTATTTTGTGAAAGTACGAGTTCTCTGATTAAGAGGTTAGCCTCTACTAATATCAAAATACCTTCTTACAAATTGGTTGTTATTGGTATGTTCAAATTCCGAAGTTATTACAATTACAATTATATTTACATACATAAATTAATTCAATTTTAATATTATTTTAGGAGGAGGAACTGGTGGACTTGCAGGTAAATTCTCAATTGACCGGATTTAATTTAGTTTACAAAGCCACAGCATGTCTCAACAAGAAAGGTTTGAATTTTCTTTATAGTATCATCTACATTGTCCAAAATCCTTGGAAAAAATGAAGTTGCAGTAATCGAACCATCCAATTTTCATTATGTAAGTAAATTATTACAATCAATTCAATTTAAAATCTTTTTTTATATATTCATGAAATAATTTTTTTAAATACTCTAGTATCAACCATTATGGACATTTGTTGGTGCAGGAATTAAACCATTTTCGGATTCGGCTAAACCAACAGAACAAGTTATGCCATCTGATGCTGTTTGGATTAAAAATAAAGTAACAGCAATTGAACCTAATGGTAATTTAATTACATTACAAGATGGTCAAAAAGTGAGTGTTTTAATCCAAAAAAAAACAAAAACAAAAAAAAAATTTTGTTCAACTTTTTTTTTAAATTAATTTTTTTTTATAGGTGAAATATGATTACTTGGTTGTAGCTACAGGAATACAATGTAATTGGGATAAAATTAAAGGACTTCCCGAATCTCTCGGTAAAAATGGAGTTACTAGTAATTATTCTGAAAAAACTGTTGAAAAGACGTGGGAATTCATTCGAGAATTTAAAGGTGGAAATGCAATCTTTACTATGCCAAACACCCCAATCAAGGTAAATATCTTTGTTTAGACCTTAAACTTCAAAAAAAATAAAAAAAAATAAATATCTCTCATTTCTATGTAGTGTCCGGGAGCTGCTATTAAAATAGCGTACTTGGCAGAAGATCATTTTAATAAGAATCATGTCAGAGGAAAAAGTAATGTAATTTATAACACAGCAATGGGAAAAATATTTAGTATAGAAAAATATGCAAAAAGTCTTACAAGGGTCGCGAAAGACCGAGGAATTGAAGTGAATTTTTTAACAGAATTATCAGAAATTCGTGGTGATAAAAAAGAAGCCGTATTTAAAAAGCCTGGCGGTAGCGAAGAAAAAACTTATAATTATGAATTTTTACACGTCGTTCCACCAATGGGACCACCAACATTTATTGCTCAATCGGGGATAGGAAATGCGGCAGGATGGGTTGACGTCGATCAATATACTTTACAACATAATAAATATCCGAATATATTTTCATTGGGAGATAGTAGTTCTGCTCCTACATCAAAAACCGCTGCCGCCATTGCTGCTCAAAGTGGGATTTTGAAAAACAATCTATTAGATTATATATCGGGTAAATTTAATTCTTCTAATGCTGCCAGATATGATGGTTACGCCAGTTGCCCCTTGATGGTTGGAAAAGATAAGTTAATTTTAGCGGAATTTAGTGGTTACACCGGTACGCCGATGGAAACTTTCCCTGTTGATCAAGGACAAGAAAGAACTTCTATGTATTGGTTAACTAAAGAGGTATTCATTTTTAGGAGAAAAGGATGGATCATTTATTTATTTATTTGTGAATATTTTTAACAATAATTTTTTTTGTTTAGGTCATTCCGGATATTTATTGGAATAGATTATTGAAAGGAACCTGGGTTGGTCCACAAAAATATCGTAACTGGTTCTCCTATTTACCTCAATAAGATAACTGAATAAAAAACGCTTTATTCTGATTCTGATGTGTTTTACGAATATGTATAATCGTACTTAATTCCATAAAATTTTTTTAATAATTTCTATACATCTTGTATGACATTTTTTTTGATAATTAAACGTAATTAAAATTTATTTATTAATAATCAAAATTTTGTAATTTCATTTTAAATTGTTTAAATTGTTTATAAAACTATTTTTTCACACGCTTTTAATTCATCCTATAAAGGCAACGATTGTCAGAGTTGCTCTACCGCCAGATAATTGTTTTTTATTAATCCACACAATATAAAAATATAAAAATAGGAACATGTAAACCTACATGCTATGCAGTAAGTGTCAAAATCCCTGATGCATTGTTGTCATAACGGGTTGACCAATCAAAATTTTCCAGTCATGTGATCAATTTTGGTCTTCGTAAGCTGATACACGTAAGCTGATATACGTAAGCTGATATACGTAAGCCTACATACATAAGCTCATAGTAATCGATGGAAATTCACCCTGAAGTTGTTGGGGTATTAAATATTATTATTATTTATACAAACAAAACATATTATTAAAATTAGCATTAGAATTAATCCTTAATAGGAAAATTCGATTACTAAAAAAAAATCCTAGACTTTTTTCCCTTACTTTTTTTTTTTTTTTTGTTGGCGGGTTTTTTTGTCTAAGCCTTAAACCTATCAAACTGAAAATGCAAAAAATCAAAAATAACCTGTTCAATAAGGTAATAAGTAGAAATTTTTTATCTTTGTTCAAAAAAAATTTTTTTTTAATATGGTGTAAACAAACCTTACCAAATTAAATGATTTATCATATTCCGAACTATTCTAAAATAATCTTATTCTATTCGATTATCATAATCATTATACAAATAAGGAGGGGGAGGCGATTTAAAAATTCCGTACAACAAAGGAACCTGAAATAGGGCGTATCTTTTAGAGCCCCTTTTTGTTTCTTAAGATACATGGTTCGGCAGGAACTGGAAACAAAAAAAAACAGTGATTTGTGATTATTAATTAAAATACCAATAAAAACCCGATATTCAGCCATCATAATGAATCAAAAGCCTTTAATTATCTTAACACCAATTCATACTTCTCCATAAAAAGTAGAATGGATAAAAATGTAAGAATTCTTGACAAAGAAAGAATTGTTTATTTGTCACACAACGAACTACGGTGCAGAGGTGCATAGAAAAAGAATACTAAATGGAACAATTATCATATTCCGCCACAATTATTTATTTGTTATATTTGAATTTATAATGAGGGTTGAAACCGAGGCTAATTATTATTGTTAATAAAAAAAATTTTTTTTTTCCCTTTTTTTTTTTTTTTTGTTCAGTTCATTAATATATTGCAGATCACAACAAATCAATGACGTACTAAGGAACAAGAACTCGTCATCATTTTGCATAATCGTTTCATTGATATCCAATCGACTTTCAATTGTTGATTACCAAATCTGGAGTTTGAAGGAGACAACACCACATTTAACCGACTTTATACAAGGCATTACCTGTATTTAAATGTTGGTTAACTATTTATATTTTTAGATTAACAATATATTTCACTTGTCGATTATTTTTTTTATGATAATATAAATATCCCCTTTTCCAAACCAACCTTTGAGACAAATTTCAAAAAAAAAATTTATTTTTTGAAAAAAATTTTGATACCTTTCCTCTCATCATCATATTTCCTTACACACATTCTAAATTTTTTTCTTCATAACCTTCTTCAAATATGCAAATCTTTGTTAAAACACTAACTGGTAAAACCATCACTTTGGAAGTTGAAAGTAACGACACCATCTCCCAAATAAAAGAAAAAATCAAGGATAAAGAAGGAATACCTGGGGATCAACAACGTTTAATTTTTGCCGGAAAACAGTTGGAGGATGAACGAACTCTTTCGGATTATAATATCCAAAAAGAATCAACTCTTCATCTAGTACTCCGTTTAAGAGGTGGCATGCAAATTTTCGTAAAAACGCTTACCGGTAAAACCATCACTTTGGAAGTTGAAAGTTCGGATAACATTACCAAAGTCAAACAAAAAATTCAAGACAAGGAAGGAATCCCTCCAGAACAACAACGTTTAATCTTTGCCGGCAAACAGTTAGAAGATGAAAGAACCCTCGGTGATTATAATATTCAAAAGGAATCAACCTTACATTTAGTACTTCGTTTACGAGGTGGTGGTAAAATCAAAAGGTCGTGTAAATATGATAAATGTGGCTCTAAACAATCAACTATTGGTTATTGTAAATATTGTGACACACATTTTTGCAAAGACCATAGATTACCTGAAGCTCATACATGTAAAAATATGGGTAGTTGTAAACAAGCTAGCTTTGAAAGGAATGCGGCAAAATTACGAAGTGAACAGTGTGTTGCAAGTAAATTAGTTATGTCATAATCTTTTTAAGACTTCAAATTCATTCACTTTCTCAAATAGAATTATTTTCTCGTTTTTGGCTCTTAGAATTTCACATAAAAATAAATTCCCACTTTTGTATAATAATAATATAATGTATAGAAGAATCAAACATTTTTTAGTCATATATATATTTTTTTTCACAAGTTTTAGATCTTATTTTCATAATAATAAATTTATTTTAATTTTATTAATCTTTGTTTTTGGTTTTTTTTTTTTTTTTGCTTGCCAAACCACTTTATGGAATGAATGTTTTTGTTGACTAAATAAACGTAGTGTGATTGGTGTTTCTTAGACATGCGAGAAATATGTACCAAATTAGTTTCGAAATTTATAACAAAATTCTCATGTTTCGTTACGATAAATTCCGACTTTAAAGATGATCTAATGTTAGTTTCTCCTCGACTTTTCGCGTGACTTACGTATAGTTATATTCCAAAATATCATATTAACTTTATATAGGTTTCAACCTTTTAGATCAAAATCGAACTTCATAAATGCATTTAATGCATTTATGGGGGGGGGGGGGGGGGCAAAACAAACCTTTTTTTTTAACTTTTTTTGAAATAAAAATTGACTTGGCAAAAAAAGGACTTTTCTGACACTAGCTAAATATAATTTAATTATTTCCCATTCTATTATTATTGGAATCTATCCCAAAAAGCAAAAAAATTTGGTCAGTATTGTCATAAAAAATTTTCGTCCTACATTATTTTGGCCGGAATTAAGAATAAGAAATTGACTATAAACAAAAATAACGAATGACAAATAAGATTTTCAGGCCCCCGGATATTTAAAAGAGGTTGACATAAATTAATTTTTTTGTAATAATACTTTGTCTTTAATATTTACTAGTATTACCATAAAATATTTTCATTTCATATGATTTATGTAATTTTTTATCTTATATCACACACCTATTCTTTTCATTTTTACTACGGTGCATACAGTTTAAAGCCAGGTTAACTTAAATCATATTCTGTATTTGTAAACATTATTTTATGATTTTAAGTATATTATATAATAATATAATAAAGAAATAATTATGGTCAGAAATAAGTTAGATTGATTTTATTTTGTAATTCGATCTAAATTTATCTATCTAAAAAAGGTTAGAATCACTTTTTTTAAATCTTAGCATATCTTTCTTATATTCTGTAAGTATTGATGAATTAGTTTATATATAATATATTAATATTTAAAGAATTTGACCCATTATAAATTAGGTTGAAATAAAGATGAAAACTGTAATTAATACATTGCAATTTTTAATATTGCAATATACATTGCAATTAGTTTTAACCTAGATATGTTATAACTTATACTATTGAATATATATTGCAACTAATTTTAGTTTATATTGTAATAAGTTGTAAATTTGAAATTAATTGTTACATTATCTTTAAGCTGGAATTAAGTTAAAATAATAATTCTAACCAAATTTTCAAAAAGTTATGAAACAAAAATTTTTCGCTTAATTTATAATTTATATTCTAAAATTATTTTGCTTAATCCTTAATCTAAAATCTAAATATACCTTTCAAAAAGAAAAAAGTATAACTTAAACTTACATGAGATATAAAAAAGCAGAAGTAACAAATTAAAGTGAATATTTCATTAAATAATAATAAAAATTAAAGATGGTACAGCAATTGATTTCAAATTTACAAAATGTTGCAACATAAGCTAAAATTAGTTGCAACATAT